GATTTTGAGATTTCACACTGTACCTTTATAAACCACAGATTTTTCTTTTCTTTTCTCACCATACAGTAAATCCACTTCTCCTGTACCTGGAGGTGGTACAGATGCAAACGGAGAAACAGAGAGAGATAAAACCGAGGAAGGAGGAAGATAATGATGCCATCAGATCTGAAGGAGGTGTTTGCAAGAAGAATAAAAAGTGCCCCTCATCTCTTCATGGCACCCATCATCAGCCCTTCTCATGTTTTTGCAGTCTGTCCAGTCACTGCCTCTAGTGGTGGTAAATGGAATTACATTGTGTGTGCTCCGTGCTCTAAAGTGAACATGTACTGCGACATTTTCCCCATGTTGGTTGTGCAGAGCAGCTTGACTGTTTTCACAATTACATAAAAAGATGAGAGTCCTGATAACGTTGTTTGCGTTTATCTGATTTCACCGAGCCCATCCACCGGCTGGTATCGATCATGTTTTCCGATCTGATCCCCGAAGGTCTGAGTCATCATATTTTCAGCACTGAATACAATCACTTTTGTTTTCGTATTTCTGGCAGAGAATCATTGACGGTGTTTTTGCAAAGTTTCCATTTCCTAGAGACTCCGAGGGGACATTTGCTCACTTCTCATTGTCGCATGTAACGTTACGTGCCGCTGTAAGCCGTGGGTCAGTAGGTGTGTTGTGCTTCCTGTCTGAGCTGTTGTAAATACTCGGCTGTTAATGCAAGTGAAGGGTGGAGGTAACTGTAGCCTGCACGTCCCCCATCTCTGTGCTCAAATTCACACGGAATATATGACATTTCATGCTACTGGTATTGTGCTGATGCCAGGCTGCTTCAGAATAATGAACTCTTTGACTTCCTCTATTGCGGTTGGAAAACATGAGTGATGGGTGAGGTCAGATGAGTGAGATTTGAGGATGTTATGGCTCAGAGTAGATCAGAGCATTACGAATGTCAAACTTTAAGTTGTTTCCTTTTTACTTTTCCCCTCATTTTTCGTCTTTGAAATTAGTGATATTGAGTCTTTTTCTCTGCCGGTGGAGATACATTTCAGAAAATTACATTTCATGAAAATGCTGTATATGTAACGCTGCTGTAGATGTGAGACCTGCTTCAGTCCATAAATATCTAGTATTTCAAAGGTCTTTCTATTTTGGATAGTAAAATCCTTCCAGTATAGTTCTGCCATTTTTCCGTTTCGTATCCTCTTAGCTAAGACCTTGCTGGTGCCTCTGATGGCTGAGGTTGATGCAAAGATCTGTCTGTTTGTCTGACCAGTTGTTTTCATTGGGAACAGTCTTGTAGTCCAGACTAAGGTGATAAGGTGATGTGAGTGAAGTCCTTTAGAGCAAATAATTTTCATAATAGTGGTGTCCTTGATCCTTGGGAGTTTTTGAGAGCATCCTATCTTGTTACAGTGGATAGGTCCTTTAGAAAGTGAGATCCTGATAGGTTAAACTCACTAATGAATGATCTTACTAAAAACCCCATGAAATGTTTGACAAACTAAATTTTCCTTTCTATGCACTTTTAACAGCAGGACCTTATGGAAATCCTTTTCTGCCTGAGAGTTTAAAAAAACATCATTGTGACTTTGTTTCTTGTAATCGTGAGTTAATATCTCAAAGTTGCAACTTTATTTCACATAATGGCAGGGTTATATCTCACAACTGCGACTTTGTTTCTCTTAATTACAACTTGATGTCTCACAGTTGTGACTTTATTTCACATAATTGCAGCCCTATATCTTACATTTGCAGCTTTATGTCTCACAACTGCAACTTTCTTTTTCATAATTGTGAGTTTATATCTCACAATTGTGGCTTTGTTTCTCACAATTGCCACTTTTTGGAATTGTGACTTAATATCTCACAATTACGACACTGTTTCGTTCCATTTTTACATATCTCACAGTTTGGACTTTGTTTCTTGTAATTGCGACTTTATGTTTAATGACATTGTTTCTTGGAATTTTGACTTCATATCTCACAATTACGACATTTTTTTTCTTTCGATTTTGACATCTCACAGTTTTGACTTTTTTTTTTTGTCATTTCAACTTTCTGTCTCACAATTACGACTTCATTTCTAGTCATTTTCTAGTGACATATCATCATTTGATATTGTTTCTCATGATTTTGTCTTTATCTCTCACAATTGTGGCTTTGTTTTTCATAATTGTGATTTCATGTCTCATAATTACAACTTTGTTCCTCATAATTGCGACTTTATATTTTTTTGGCGTTGTTTTTTGTAATTTTGACTTAATATCTGACAATTGCGACTTTATTTCAAGTAATTGCAACTTTATATTTTAATACATTGTTTGTCAGAATTGTGACTAAATCTTACAACTGCAACTTTGTTTTTTTTTATATTTGTGAATTTCTTTATTTTTACTCTGAGGTGGAAATGGGGAATATTTGGAGATTGATTTTTGTATGCATCCTGCAAATTAAGATTTGTTGAACTATTGCTTAATATTGAGTGTGAGATCTCGATGGGTTTGATCTATTGGATTAGACCCACTGGAGATCTAACAACCCCATGAAATATTTCAATGAACACATTTTCTTTTCTATCCACCTAAAAGGGTGAGATCCCAATGGGTTAGATTCACTGGAGAATGATCTTCCAGTCATTTTCTTGAGCAATATATTATGCAAATTAATGTGTAATCTGATTCTAGGCTTAAGTTCTCAAGAACCTCACATGATTTGTAATAATCAGCTCTTCTTTTGGCAGAACACTCTCTAATTTTAATCAAACGCCCACAGTGACTAATACAGTAGTTCCAGAAGAAACCGACTTCTTGTAGGCTTTGTTGGTCATTCATATCTGTCGTCAAATAGGTAGTCTGCGTGTAAACCACAGCTTGAATTCAAGAATAGAGACTAAAACTCTTTGACAGAGACATTTCGAGTGCCAAATGTGAAATAAGACATTCAGGAAAGATACTTCACACAGTGAAAATGAAAACCTCGTGCTTTTGAAAACATGGTGCTGTACGTCCAGCATGTAAATTTCTGCTGTAGAAAAACAAAGAGTGAAGACTTTAATAAACATATTACAGTACATATCACTTTCTATGCTGAGCCAGAACAGAATTTAATCATTTGAACTATGTTATGTACAATCCTCAGGTTGTTTTTCTTTTTATCTTGTTCTATTTTTTGCATACTGACTGATGAACAACACTGTGCGTCTGCCTTAGGTTTTTCCCTTACCACTGTGAAGTTCTGATGGGGTTTTGCAGATTTATTGTGATTTTATTTCTATCAACAAGTTATTTCATTTAAAAAATGATGTTCCATGGGTACCAATTAAACAGTATGTAAAAAAAAAATCTTTGTTTGATTAAAAAAAAGCCCAGCCCAGAAAAATAAAAGGATGAGCTTGATTAATTAAAATGTTACAATTTGATTTTGAGGACTAAATATTGCTTATCATATTTTTTGTGGCACTTCTGCTGCCAATAAGAAGCACTGTAAACAACTGAGTCATTGTTCATTCACAGAATTTTTTTATTATTATTTTTATTTTAGTTCATTTTTTTTATATTGTTTCGCAGCACTGTGCTGAACTATGTGTGTACGACTATGTATGCATGTGTATATGTATGGAGTGAGCACTCCTGGTTTCTGCAATGAGTAACTGGTTATTTTCTACAGCAAGTTACTTATTGTTTGTTGCAATAAGACCTTAAAACAAAAGTCTTTTATGAGAATTCTGTTAACAATTCAATAACCACAAATCCGGTCTTGTATGAAAAGGATCAGTCAGGAAAATTACTCATTGGAACTGACTGAATTTTCCTTAAAAGTCTTTTGGATATTTCAAATTTGCAGCGGCTACAAACAATGTGTAAATTCCACGCAATACCTTCACCAAAATAATAACAGAATTTGAAAAAAAAAAAGCAAAAGCAAAAGTGCTTACAAAGAATGGCAATAACTGTATGAATGCAACGATACTGTAACCTAGAAGAGACAAAGGGAGAGTTGTGTACGCTCCAATGCTGGCTATGCAAGCAAGTCCTGAACCTTAACAAGAGAATTACAACATTTGAAATGATTTCATTCATAGCATCTCCGTGTCATTCTGTAATATCTCACAGGAATGAATCTTGTTTCTACTGTGGAATTGTAGGGATGTTTCTGTTTTAGGGACCTCCAAGGGTTCTCTTTAAATTTGCACATGTGCCATGTTTTGCTCCAAGGACCCACCCGAGTGTCTAAGGGGAGGAAAAGGCCCCTGACTGCAGCAATGGCACATGCGTATTTTGATTTAAAGAGTAACAGGACTATATGTATATATAAATATGTATGTATGTAACCCAAAGCAGAACAGGAATTGCTCGCTTCACTGCAAGTGTACAGAAAGACTGGAGCTTTAAAAATATTTCAGAATAAAGGTTACTGCTGAACACACACATTGCAAGGAGTGGAGTTTTTGTGTCATGATGTGTGTTTTTTTTCTTTTTCATTCTATAGGTCATTTTTTCCTTTAAGTATCTGTTGTTCTGTCAGACTGTTACGCACTTGTTTACTTAATAAGGTAACACTGGAAAAAAGGGCCAAAAGAAATGGCATTTTAGATCAAAGCCACAGACATTTTTTTGTGAGTTGACCTTTTGTCTTTATCTGCTTCATGACGGTGGTTTTAGGTCTGGGAACGTAACCCTAAAAAGGTGATTGTTGGATATAAAACTATTCAGTTTTATGTCCATCAAACTCCTTTTTAGTGTATACATGTTTGCAAGCATATGAATGTGTTCATATGTGTATATTTTTATGAGGCATCCCAAAACTACTCCATTTAGAAATACACTCACATTCTGAATGTATCTTGCTTTAATCAAACCAGTAATAATGAAACGCCAATGAAACGGTGACAGCACAGTGAAGCTATTGCTTCTCTCTCTCTCTCTCTCTCTCTCTCTCTCTCTCTCTCTTTCTCCACAACAGTAAGCAGGTGAAGGGCAGTGTGAGAAAGAGAGGGAGGGGAATGACAGGAAGACACAGCAGGTGAGGAAACAATGAGATGAAATGATCAGAACAGAAAACAGACTGGCAGAAGACACAGAAAAAGAGTTTGAAAGCATTTGATGACATTTTGGATTTCAACTAATTGTGAGGTACCGACTATTTTCACTTATATTGCAGTTATTGTTAGGTTCTTTTTTTTCTCCACTTGCTTCATTTTTCAAAAATGTAGGTCTTTCTTCTAAGATTTTGACTAGACTTTAAAAATGACTTAAAATAATCAAAACGAGCCAGTCACATGCTTATTTGCTATTGCATCAGATTCACAAATCTACTTCCCCAATGTTTTTTTTTTTTTTTGCAAACTCAGCTGTTGAATAATGCAATATATTATTTTAATAGTCATGAACATGTGAACATCGAAGTGAAACTTGTGCTAAATCACACTTCTTTATTCGAAAGTTTGATTGTGTTTGTTCATATGTTCTCCAATGACTGATGGAGGGTGTGTGATATTTTGTCTGTGTGGATCACTTCGTGTCTGATAAAGTTGTATCGTTTACAGATGCTTGTGACAGTGATATCTGTAGCCATGGTGATGCTGACAGGTCACCTGATATATGGGCTCCCCATGGTAAATTATGTTATAATATGTACGGTATATATTGTTAACAAGACGCTTTGATGTGAAGACTTGTAGTATGCTGCATGCTCTGTGTTCACATTAATCAGTTGATCTGAATTGTGAACCGAATTAGCGCAGAACCGTACTTCAGTGTGCATTTAAAAGACACTGTGTTACTCTATTGGATGCATCCAAAACAAATTATCTTGTGTGTTGTCGTTTGTTTTGAGCAGGACGGAAAAATGAGAAATTCCAGAGCCCTTTCAGAAGAGTTGTGTGATGCAGGTGAGAAAGCATTTCGGGGCGATATTTCTCAAAGTCTCTTGTATCTAGCATCACTTTCTCTGAATTCTTTCCCTGTTTTTGCGGAGTGCGTGAGCGTACCTTTCTGTCACAACACTTCCCAGTATTACATATGTGGTCTGAGCAAGAAATTGCCCAGGACATCAATGGTTTATTAGGTTTTTCTTAATCGTTCTTTCTTCTTCCTTTCCCTCTCTTTCTTTCTCTCTCGTGATGGGAAATGGTATGTTCTGACACAGAAGCATAAACCACTTCCTTCATTAGAATGCCACTGCCTGTTTGAGCTACTTTGTAACGTCCTGTTTTTGATGCTATTTCTCATCTCTCCCCTTAAGAGACCTCAGTCAGCAAGTCTGAGTCTGTGCATAAAAGTGTGTGTGCACGTACGTGAGTGTGTCTGTGTGCGAGCACCCACATCCGCCTTTAAAAATTCAGTTTGTGCCCTTTGAGCTGAACGTCTTTGCACAGTCAAATACAAATTTAGTTATTACACCTTTAAATATGTTACGATAGTCATTTTAGTATCTATGCTGTGCAATAGGTTAATTAAATTTTTCAAAGATACTAAAGGGACATGATGAAGGTAAAAAAAAAAAAAAGATTTTGATTTGCACTCCCCTGAGAAACTTTTGCGTTCACTTGCAAAACTTTTGTTATGGAAATTATTTGAGGTGGGAGGGAAAAGTAAGCTATTTCCTGTGAATGCACAAGACCGATTTATTAGCCACTAAATTATTCTAGGTAAATAACTAGAAGAATAATGATGTGCAGTAAACTGTAAAACTATTTGCATTACAACTTTGTGTGCTTATGATTATGATTATAAAATATATAAGGGTCCAAGCACAATAGAGGTACAATGAGAAGCTAAATTTCAAGGCAGCAAGCATCACACCAACTGCAGAAATTAGTAATTAAAGACATTTGTAGATGATATTAAGCAAAATGGTTGAAAAATCATAAATAGAATCACTTATCTAATGTAACATAATTGCTTAAATTCTACTGTTAGTGTTATCTGTATGCACCAAGGGTCTGAGAGTAACGCAATTTCAATTCTCTGTGTGTATGTGCTGTACATGTGGAAGAATTGACAATAAAGCAGACTTGACTTGACTTATTATGTTTGATTAATAGGTGGCGTTGACACCAAATTGATGTGGTGTAGCTATGAGGTGACAATGACACAAAGTTTGGTGTCAATATGTCAAAGCTGCAGACATACAGCCTCAGATGCATGCCATCAAATTCATTTGATGTGGTATATGAAAACCGTTCTATCAACACGAAACCCATAACTTTGTGCCAGCATAGTCTGAAGATGAACGGTCTAGGATAAGTAGGTTTTCAAATAAAATCAAAATGGCGGACAGAAAGTTACAACTGGTATATAGGCCTTTTGCCTATACCAAGTTTGTAACATTTGTAAAATATAGCATTTTCGTCAAATTCATATTCTTGTTATTCGAGAACGGTTTGACTAATCAACTTTGCATAACCTTTTGTTGGCATGGTCTGAAAATGGTTCAATTGTCATGAAAATTTGAGCAACAGTCTAGGAGTAGTTGGTTTTTTGGAAAATTCAAAATGGCGGAAAAATGTTCACGATGGAAAAACGTGTGCAACTTTAGACAGTTGGTGGCGCTAGAAGCATTGAGTTAAAACCTCCAAATTTGCTGTGATTAATATCCAGATTGTTCTCTATCAGTGTGCCAAATTTAATAACTTTCCCTATGGGCTGCTAAGCATAACAGACTGCTTTTTTTTTTCAATTTTTACACAGCTAACATAACTAGCGGCTGAGACCCAAAGCTTTGTACATGCATGTTAAAAATGGCTGCACCTACTTTTACGTTAAAGTGCGTATGTAATAAAAGCACATCTCACCAAACCATACTAACAGGTGGCAGTAATTCACACAAATGGTCTCAAGTTTTTAAAATTCCAGGTATACAGTGCATGATTTTAGGCCCAATTTTAATTTTTTTTTCTGGAGATTGGCCCAAAATCTGAGGCAAATCGGTGCTTGTTCATAGTGTGAATGATCAAAAACGTGATCTGAGATAAGTGCCGATGCCCAAGAACTATTTAGCAGGCCAAATATATGGACCTGTCTGGGACTCAGAGGGTGCTTCTCATTTCTTATTTCTTCATCCTCATTTACTTTCATAATTTCCTTTCCTTGCATCTTAGCTCCACCCCCTTAGGATGCGAGGGAAGGATACACCTGTGTATCCTCACTCATAACTCCTCGGGAAGCTTCCTCACTCCTCGTTCCTCGCGTTGCAATTAGTGAATTGGGATGTCCTTCAAGATGGCTGAGTTCAATCGGTTTCCGGGTCACATACAGACAATGAGAGAACAAGATACAGGGCAAGGGAAATCAGGGGGAGGAGTCGTAGTCTTGCGTCATTCCCTGTATGACTTTTTGTACACAAGACAGAGTTGTCGGGATTCTTCCTAGTGAAATATCGTATAATATGTGACCCCCAGTTGCTGATCCATTGTGCAAACCACAGCAACTTTATGATACCCAAAACAGTCATGTAGTATGAAAGAAACAGCGATCCGATTGGCCACGGCGTCATAGATTCACGGCATTCACACAAATGAGAGATGTACTGTAATGGCTAAGGACATCCTTAGACCAACAAGTGAATGGCCTCTGTCTACCTGACAAAGTCGACTGACTCTAAGATGTAGTGGTGTGAACTATAGTCCAGTGATAGACTTAAAGTCACTAACATCTTTCTTGTTAGTTTGAATTCATTTGACCTTACTGTCCTTTTTTTGTCCTCTGCATTTCCACTTCCTCTTTTTCCACTCTGTCTTCCTGACTGTTCATCATCTCTTAGGATATTACAAGTCTGTCACTGGGTGTCTTCAGTGCGACCCCGGTTTCTTCACCAGTCAGAAAAACAGAGAAGACAGATGCTACCGCTGCTTCCAGAACTGCTTACCTGGTATGAAGCTCGTTACACCTAATTAACCCACAACAGTATAAACAGGATGAAGTGAGAATAGAAACAGGAAGTATGGCAAAACGTTTTGAAAACAAATGTGTGTGTGTGTTAGAATTCAACATGACGGTGGTGGTGGCGTGTACGATAACATCAGATGTGGAGTGTCGCTGTCGGGAGGGTTACACTTGTACCGCGATCGATCAATACACAGGCCAATGTCACATTTGTGCTCCTGTCTCCACCCCAGTCCCGTCCTCCACCTATGCTGACGTCCCTTCATCCACTACATCCACCACTTCATCCACAGAGACAGCTGAGATCGGGCTGGGTAAGCATTGTTGTTTTCATGTACATAATGTGTGTGCACTCGTATTCTAAGTAGTATTTTGGATTTACTACCATCTAAGGAAGGGTAGTATGCTTGAAGCAAGGTTGGATTATGGACTGGGCCAATGGGAATGTTTCCCAGAGCCTCAGATTAACAGGGGCTTCCAAAGTATCAGTCCCCATGGCCAAAAACATGAGAGCCTGACTGCAAGGGCCCCCATGCCTGTCATCTCGACTCGGCCCTCGACTATTATTTTTTACACATATTATCTAATATTACCAAAACACGTTTGTATATCGTTGTTTTAATCAAATCATCCGTCCCGTCCTCCACCTATGCTGACGTCCCTTCATCCACTACATCCACCACTTCATCCACAGAGACAGCTGAGATCGGGCTGGGTAAGCATTGTTGTTTTCATGTACATAATGTGTGTGCACTCGTATTCTAAGTAGTATTTTGGATTTACTACCATCTAAGGAAGGGTAGTATGCTTGAAGCAAGGTTGGATTATGGACTGGGCCAATGGGAATGTTTCCCAGAGCCTCAGATTAACAGGGGCTTCCAAAGTATCAGTCCCCATGGCCAAAAACATGAGAGCCTGACTGCAAGGGCCCCCATGCCTGTCATCTCGACTCGGCCCTCGACTATTATTTTTTACACATATTATCTAATATTACCAAAACACGTTTGTATATCTTTGTTTTAATCAAATCATCCTTGTTGCTTAAAGGGGTCCTATTATGCTTTTTCACTTTTTCAACTTTAGTTAGTGTGTGATGTTGCTGTTTGAGAATAAAAAAAGATTTGCAAAGTTTTTTTTTTTTTTTTAAGTATTGCCCTGCATGACATCATATAGGGTGAATTTCCTTGTATGGGCGCTTCTCCCGGAAGAGTGCGAAAATCAACATTGTCACCAAAGAAGTGAGTATTGTTGTTGCCGCCGCCATGTCGTGAAGGCGCTGTGTGTTTTTCGTTGTGAAAGCGAAACTACTTTTTGGTTTGGCCTTCCAAAAGAGGACAATATCGCTTCATCATGCCTGGAGCTGATCCGTGCTGGTAAATAATGTTCTTTTTAACAGCATCATATGACCCCTTTAAGGAAACTATTTATGTCGATGTCACAGCTTGCAGACGGTCACTATACAAAAGCTTTGCATGCTTGTGGCTCTTTAGCTCCGCCCACGGCACGCCTCCAGGAGCTCGACTGTTTTCAGAGGGAAGCGTAAAACTGTATCTGTATTTCATAAATCTGATCAGACTAAATACTTTTTTGGAGATACGAAGGATGCAATACTACTCTATAGGTACTCGAGATTAACATGAGATTGGCAGAAACTGTGTGTTATGTCCCCTTTAACAGAAAACACTTTTCAAGAACTACAACAAATGTCGTACAATAAAACATGACAGAAGTATTTTGAGCTTGTGTTAACCACAAACCTTATTTCAGGAATCAACAACCCATTCGAGTGCTGCACAAATCAGTCAAAAAAGGCACTTCAGTCTTGATATTCATTAGATATTTAATTGCGGACATTTATTTTTTGTTTTACATAACTCTTGCTATTACCAGATATAACCTTTTTAGAGCACTGTTCCTTAAAGAGCGCTTTCCCATATAGGAAATTCCTATAGGACATTCATCTCACCTATTCAACTCTTCATCTCAACATAAATAGTTATGCTAATTTACATCCTTGTATTTATTTTACAGGTGACAATAGTGTTGTGGTGTTGGTTTTATGTGGGTTCATTTCTGTAATGTTATCTGTCATCATCCTCATGCTGTTCCTCCGGCTCTGCAGGAAGAAAGAGAAGGAATGTTTTAAGCATTGTGAGTAACACAATACACACATGAACGCAAACACATTTTTTCTCAGAGGTTTTGTGGGTTAATCTTACCTCTCACTGGTCTCTTCTCTTCATTAGTTGTCAGGCAGTGCTCGTTGGGTGATATGGAGGTGAGTAAAGAGTTAATGCACATTTCTGTAGTATGTGAGCATGTCATGAATCATCTGACTCACAGTCCTTCTTTTCTTCAGGTGGACAGTGAGACTACACCTCCTACCAGCCAACCAAATGAGCAGCCCCATGCCCAGGAGATGCTGTCACATGGCAGCACACCCACCAATCACAACACAAACTGCTCATTTCATCAGCCAATCAGCTCAGAGCAGGCTGTGCCTCCAGCTGGCAATTTAGGTACTATAAAGAGCTGCTTTTTGTGATTTTCTTATTTTATTAAAATAATTATGAAGCTCATTTATCCAGATCTATTAATTTGTTTAAAAATATGACCTAAATATACATCTTTATGGCATGAAGTGAGGGGCATAAACAAAAAAAAATGTGAATGAATAAATAAATAAATAAACATTAAAATAATGCAATTCTTGAAAAGCAAAAGTTTTATCAAGTAGTTTGGCGTAATCTTTAATTATTATTTATTAACAAATCTGCTTCACTGCTTATTAATATTTTAAAAAAATATTTGATTTGACTGTGAAATCATGTCATGTGGCCAAACCAATATACATAAACATGCAGTAAAAAACAAAACAGGAAATTATATCATTGAGAGCACTACTGCAGACCCTTATGGTCAATAAATTGCTTAAAATATCACATACATTTAATTTTGAATTTATTGAAAGGATAGCCCCTTGAGATGTAACATCTCATTTTCAAGGGGGTCCTATAAACACAAAAACAAAATATGACAGCATAAACAAAACAACCATACAAAACATGAACACACCCAAATATAATTGACCATATGTATATTCATGTATGTATAAAACTAAATGTATAACATACTTTTGACTTGATGGTTACGCAGTTACACCAGATGACATTTGTATGAATTATTAATAATACAATAATAAATGAAATAGTATATAAGAATTAAATAACCAGACATATAATCATTGAAATAATAATTAAATATCATTGAGAGGACTACTGCAGACCCTCATGGTCAATAAATTGCTTAAAATATCACATACATTTAATTTTGAATTTATTGAAAGGATAGCCCTTTGAGATGTTACATCTCATTTTCAAGGGGGTCCTATAAACACAAAAACAAAATATGACAGCATAAACAAAACAACCATACAAAACATGAACACACCCAAATATAATTGACCATATGTATATTCATGTATGTATAAAACTAAATGTATAACATACTTTTGACTTGATGGTTACGCAGTTACACCAGATGACATTTGTATGAATTATTAATAATACAATAATAAATGAAATAGTATATAAGAATTAAATAACCAGACATATAATCATTGAAATAATAATTAAAAAATATTATTATAATGTGCGTGTGTGTGTGTGTATATACTGTACATACATACATTTTATATATAAATACAATATATATATATGTCCCCATAGAAGCCTGTTTCCGCAACTGAATAAAAAAAGGGTAATTGTGAGTTATGTTTTTTCTCACAATTGTGAAGTTTATATCTCAAAAAAAATAAATGAAATAGTATATAAGAATTAAATAACCAGACATATAATCATTGAAATAATAATTAAAAAATATTATTATAATGTGCGTGTGTGTGTGTACTGTACATACATACATTTTATATATAAATACAATATATATATATGTCCCCATAGAAGCCTGTTTCCGCAACTGAATAAAAAAAGGGTAATTGTGAGTTGTTTTTTCTCACAATTGTGAAGTTTATATCTCAAAAATTTTTTTCTCAGAATTGCATGATATAAACTCGAAGTTCTGACTTTTTTCTCAGAATTGACTTATAAACTTGCAATTGTGAGAAAAAAGTCAGAATTGCGAGATATAAATTTGCAATTGTAAGAAAATAAACAAAATAAAAAGTAGTTTTTTTTCTTCCTCAGAATTGGACTTTATAACTCTTAATAAGTTAAAATCTCAGAATTGTGTGATATAAACTTGCTGTGAGAAAAAAGTCCAAATTGCGAGTTTATATGACGCAATTCTGAGAAAAAAGTCAGAAATTTGAGTTGTAAACTCGCAATTGTGACAAAAAAAAGTTGGAATTGTGAGATAAAAAGTCGCAATTACCTTGTTTTATTTTTTATTCAGTGGCCAAAACGGGCTTCAATACATGACACCCCCCACATAAAAAAAAACAAAAAAACAAGCAAACGTTCAAATAGTATGAAAATTCAACATTCTCACTTTCTCGTAGGCCCTCTTCACATCTACGGTCCCCAGACAGTTTTTGTTAGTTTGCTCAATCAATTTGGATGGAATGGCGGCGAGAAAAAAGCACACGAACTCCAAGAAGAATCACTAAACAACACCAACGTGTCCTACCCTCAGTCTCCCCCCGTCCATCTGTCTGAGGAGGAAAGGAGCAGAGAGAACGATTTTATCTTCTTCCCATCTCAGGAGCAAGGTAAAGAGTGCCACATATCTAAAGAAGAGGTGCTGTGAGGGATGATGGAATACTTGTGTCCGTTCTTCTTCCGTGCTGTTCAGCTGCTGCGTGGTTTGTTTTAACTGATGCTTCGTGAGTACCCAGTATTAAAACTCTAACCCTGGCAGGGGATTTCATCTAGAGAGCAACAGGCTGCGTTAGGGGAAGACCTGGGTGTTTGACTAACAGTATGGACGACATAAGTGTTGCGTATGAGCTTGACAGTTCATGCCAGCTTGGCAGTATTACCCATAATGTACGTTTACGCGGAAACACTGATTCTAAACCATCAGAACGGCAGCGGGATGCTGATGTTGACTGCATGAAGAGTCGACACCAAAGGCTCATGATGGTTGACTGACCCTCAGGAACAGTGTTTGAAAGCAAAGAGCAGCTCTAAAACCCTCAGAAGACCAAAGATTCACATATGTTGAGATATTTATTTTATGTAAAGTTTATATTCGTCACAAAACATTTTTATTTATTTGTAACTCTTATTAATTATATTACAGTTGTTAAAAACAAAAACTTTTTTTGTTCTCATGCAGTTTATCAGTGTTCGATCGTGTTAAGTCCCTGGTTAATGTTGTCAGTGTTCTTCCTCTTTTCTTTGGTTTTTATGCGACAGACATGATGGATTATGCCATCAAAAAGCCCTGACATTTTGATGGTGGTCTGGAAATGTCAACGTTGTTTCTTCATTCAGAAGTCAATAAGCAATGGCTTCATCATATATTATGTTTTATATTCACTGTAATACACATTTTTTATGCTTGATATTAAGTGTAAAGTGCAATAAAATCAATAAAGGTTTATTTTTTTGGTATGTTGCACTGAGTACCTAATTAATTTCACTGCAAGATAGCAAATACAAATACAACTACAATTCCGTTTTCTATTTTATGGTAGCTGACACAAAATATAATCTTGTAACTGACATGCTATATTCCCATAACATATTTAAAATGTTTTGTTCATTCTGTTATCATTTTATACATACAGCTTCTATAACTTCCTAATGTTTTGAGACATATTTTTACAGTTATTACAAAATAGTGAAAAACTTCAACTTTACCTTATACATTCGTATACATTTGAACATAAAATCTTGATTTTAAAAAGTCCATGGGCTTGTTGTGCAAAAACTACTCGATTATAAATACAAACACGCGTGCAGAGAATAAAACCTTCATTTGTTGAAAAAGATTAGCTCTTATGTTGTATGTTGAGTGTCTCCTTATGTGCAGTGGCAACTCAAACCTCTCTCTATCTCAGCATTTCTCAGGATGGCCAGTCATTCTCACAGATCCTTCATATGGGCCACCTGAGTGCAGATTTTCTCTTGCGTAAATGGCAGCAGCAGGTTTGTATTAGAGTGAATACTCAATCCATAGACGCATCAGCGGTCTTCTTCCTGCTCTTTTCTCAGACATCCTCCAGTTTTTCAGTCTTTCCACACACCTCCTGCACTGGCATTGGTACCTCCTCTTCCTCTGTGCACTGACTGGATCCAAAGATGCTCTTGTCGGAGGGGCAGAGACCTGATGACCCAGTACAATACACATTATTAAAAGCTTATTCCTGTTATGCAGTACAATTTCATGCCATGTGGGTGAAATATTAAACTCACAATTTTAAAATATGGAAATCACATTAATTAGTTTCCTTATCATAATATTATAATTAAGTGACTATAGAGGTGCATTAAAATGAATAATTTCACTAAATTTTAAGTGGATTAAGTGATTATTTTATTATCTCCTTGGGTGTTCTGTACTTCGAAAATGTCTAGCTTTAATATTGTTTTGATCAATTAAAACAATATTGTTCTAATTGATAACAAATGTATAGGTTTTTCCTGTTATCATTATTGCTTTCCAATCCTTTTAATTATTATATTATATTATATTATATTATATTACTAGATATACAGGCTATAGGCAGGGAAACACTCAAAACAATTGTTCAGTCCATCATATAGTATATTATATTATATTATATTATATTATATTATATTATATTATATTATATTATATTATATTATATTATATTATATTATATTATATTATATTATATTATATTATATTATATTATATTATATTATATTATATTATATTATATTTTATATTATTAAGGAAATTATTGGGGTTAAATCAGATTTTAATATTAAAGTTTACATTTAATTTAATTCAGTTAAAAAGTGTCTGAGCTTGCAGTGTCAGTTTAATTCATTCAAAAAGTACTGCAAAACAGGAATGACCAAAACACAACTTAAACTAACGTACTAGATTCTAGATATACTAAAACTCATGCAATGGAGTGTCAGTATATCAAGCACTCATGCAGGTGTATAAAGAGCAGTTCCAAGGTTTTCTTTGTGAATTAAAACATTGATGTGTTGTTTACAGTGGCACTGACCGATTGATGTTGACATGATCCATCCACATGGTCGTGCATGTCTGCTGATGAGAAGGAAACAGGTGAGCAGAGCGCACACACACACACACGCAAAACACAGACTCACCGAGATCCACACATTATCTGGAAGAGGTTGATAGAAAGGGAGCAAATGGATGGGGAAAAGGAGAGAGAAAGAGTAAACAGGTCAATAGAGAATACACCTGATATACTCTGTGTGTGTGATAGTCTGTTTGCCTTCAACAGTGACTATTTTAACAGACTGACAACAGCGTGTCAGGGTTCAGGCACTCACCATGGGTGGGCGGTATTGTTTTAGTAGAAGGAGTAGAAGTAGTAACAGTAGTTGTCTGAATTTTCTCACACGTCTGGCATTTGCTGTCACTGCATCTGTAGCCCTCCTCACATGTACACACTGCATCACTTGTCGCCGTACAGTCCTTCATATTCTTCATATCTGCCAAATTAAAAGAGTGAAAGGGGTTATGTATATCAGTGTTTCTTCAACTGTGACACTCCCTTAATTCACACTTATCAAACTCACTAGTTCATTTCATTTTTCCCCTTAACGTCCATTTAAAAATAGAATTTTTAAAGAGACCGCAGAGGCATTTATAATGTTACAAAAGACTTCAATTTCAAATAAATGCTGACCATCTTACAACAAAAAGAAAAAGCTGAAATCTCCTCATCTGAGTATATGAATAAACCCTCTAGGACACAAAGGTGCCTGCACTCATATGTGAACACAGTCATTTCAACAAGACACAAGTGTCAAAATAAAACAGCAAGCTCAAAAACAGGTTTTTTTTTCTTTTCTGCTGACTCACAAATAACTCATGCCACCTCAGGATATTCAGTTTTCATTTCTGCTCATCTCTTTTCATCACAAGACTCCTTAGCCTGGTTATTTGACCATGGGCATCTACAATCTGAACTAAAGTATCATTTGGCACAAGTTTCAGAGAACATGTCTGACAATCTGCAAACATGCTGCATATTTACAAGGCTTTTTTTTTTTCAAGTTTAACCAGCAAGCCTATATTTGGTAAAATATTTTTTATGCTGGGCTTTTCAGCTAGTCCCAAAAACATTGGAGAACTAATACATGTTTGTTCAGTTACTTCAATATTAGTTTCTCTTATATTGCTTGCTGTATCTCCTTTTCTTCCCAAACGACCATTTTACAAGTATTTTGTTTCTACTTGTTGTCTAATTCAGTCTTTAGCAGGACATCTGCATATCAAAACATCTCAAGACATCTAAGTAGGCAGTTATTTCCGTTTCAAAGAATAAATTCCCCCACTCAGGTGCTTTTTTTTTTCCAGTGCTACACGTGTATTTTCAAGACTTGCTGTCCTATATCATGTTTGTTACTAGAGACGTTTTTCAGACCCCCACCTACCTCCATACTAAAAACCCACCCAAGATCTGCTGAAGGGGAAGCCCCTGCTTTGTTTTACTGTCATGTTTGGTATTTCTAGTTCATGACTTTTCATACTGATTCATCTAAAGATTCAGAACATAGCCGAACATATCATTCTAAGAACCTACAACCTGTTTTGTGATCATAAAGAAATTGAGTGGACATACGTTCCTTGGTGCACGTTGTGCAATGTTTGCACCAGTTGTTATTGACATTATATTCGTCCATGAAGAAGCCATTTCCACATGGGGAACACTGAGTGTCAGTCATTCCTACTCCGCATTTCTGTGTCATAAGCTGCCCTGTATAAACACACACAAAGACAGGGAAACATGCATGTAATGAGACATTAGTGTGGCAGAATCATGCTAACTGTACAGACAAAATGATGACATTCATGAACACGGTATTCAACGCTGACTGGTTTGAGAGTCTACCAGGTTAAGTTCAGGGAACAAGTCATCCTCATACGAGAAACTTGATGTGTCATTCTAAGACCTTAGGTAAATGTCATCAAACCAGACTATAGCTGAACCCTGAAATATTCTTACATAATGCAACCGGTTTTGATATGTCGAAAGATTACATCCTGACTTTTTCAATTGAAATACGCCTCAAAAAGCCCAACAAAGTTTAAGCAGTCTTGATTCAAACTGCACAAAATAGTCTGAAACCAATTCCATAATAATTTGGCTCTAAAACTAGATTCTTCATATTATAAAATCCATGATTTAGATTTTTGAACTTTGGCTCAAACTAATACAGACCTCTAAACTCAACTTCTTTTGCCTCAGTGCACTTTATGTTAATTATCTAATCTTAACTGAAGAACAGCTTAGTTCTTTTAACTCATCTTGAGTTCATCTCTGACTCAACTCTGCTCACAGTGATGAGGCAGCTGATTTCATTTACCTGGTTTACATTTTTTGCAGCACCGATTGTTTTTCAAGTACTCTGTTCTTTCATCGCACTGCTGTGACTGGACGAGAGGAAGGACATGTGATGAGAGCAGGAGGACACTGAGCAAGCCAAGCATCTTACTGGAAGAGAAAAAAGAAGCGCGTGAAGGTTCAGAATGACACATGACACCTGGAATGACTTTAAATGTGTTAGCAGAGAATGTAAAGAGTCATACAAATCATGAATATATTACTTGGCTGTAACTGGCCTTACTTCCTGTTAAATGTTTAATGCAATAATTACTGATAAATAACAGTTTTTATTTTTTTACATTTATATTAGGTTCACTTCCTTTATATTGATCTTTTGTCACAAATATGATCAATTACACACACACACACACACACACACACACATATATATATATATATATATATGTGTGTGTGTGTGTGTGTGTGTGTGTGTGTGTGTGAATAAACATTTAATAAACAATATTTAATAAACATACACACACAAACACACACACACACACACATACACACACACACATATATATATATATATACAGTATATATGTGTGTGTGTGTGTGAATAAACATTTAATAAACAATAAACTATATTTAATAAACACACACACACACACACACACACACACACATATATTACTTTTGATAAGTTGTATATTTAAAATCACTTTTATTCCAAAACAAATACAATTTTGTTGAAACAAACAATAAGTCAATAACCTTATTTTGCCATTTCTCATCTCTATACTCTGTACGAATAAGTGAATGAAATAAGACATTGTGTCAACGATTATACAATGATCTTTTGAGCATAGTTACAACAAACACCAGACAGATCCGGCCCCTCGCTTACTAAATTCAGCTTGACCTAGTTATGCGCGTTTTTGTAGTTGTCTGTAGTTGTTTTTCATTTTACCTTTTAGTTGACATTGATAAAAACATTTGTATCCTTGCAATAAGATCATTATAGCTTTGCTGCAACATCACATTGTACATCTCCATCAGTTTGCTATTTTTTACCATCCCTGTTAAATCACACATCCTTTAAATA